TTTGCCCAATTTGGCTTTCCCAAGTCCAAATGAGTAATTCACAAAACAATTGATAGATGCTCAAGTCGGGTTTTACTATCTCTAGATTCAACCCTTTAATTGGGACTATCAATTTCTTGAGTTCACCCCAATTTCTTGTTAGCCGAGTTTTCCTAGACTCAATCGCTCTTTCTCAAGTAGAGACTAAGTCAAATAGGCTTGAATCAATGTTTGCAACCATTAATTCCACAATTAAGCAAGAACTAGGCTAAATATTATACACCCAATCATAAATAAGCCCTAAATCAAACACCCATTAGGTACCCACACTAGGGTTGGGTCACAACCCTAGCTAGAAATTTAGTTACTCATAGATAAAAATGAAGAAATTAAAGAAGAAATGATAATTAACTCATATTGAAAGATTAAAAGACAAAAACCTAATGTTTAATCACTAAAGTAAACTAATGTTGCTAAAAACAGTAAAGAAAAACGGCTACCAACTTTCAGATGTTCAAACTTAACCTAATTTTGTCAAAAAAGACTATTTATACACGGCTGAAATTTTCGGACAAAATTGCCCTTTCGGAGGTTCTGCGGCCGCACAATTCTATGTGCGATCCGCACTTTGATGTAGGTCTTGACAGGAGGGACTTTTGCGGCCGCACAATTCTGACTTGCGGCTGCACTTCTCAAATTCTGCGGACTGCACATTTCTGAGTGCGGCCGCACTCTTAAGTTCTGCGGCCGCACAATTATAGTGCGGTACGCACTTCTTGATGGACTAAGATGGGAACTCTCTGATCTTCAACATCTTCGGCCGCACAATTATTGTGCGGTCCGCACTTTGCAAAGCTTTTCTGACAGAGGTCCTTCATGATCTATGGCCGCAGACAGAATTCTGCGGTCCGCCTTTGCCCTTTTTGCTTGGTTTTAGTCCTTGTCCGAAAATACTCCTTCTTGAGTTGAATTTCATCACATTGGCTTATTTTCTAATACTCTTGCAAGAAAGTATATTTTATCAATTTTTGGGAATATCTTTTAATATTTTTGAGTTAAAACAAAAGTAAAAAGGCGCAAATAAGTAATTAAAATCTCCACTTATCAAGAAGCATGCGCATAATTTACGTAATATGCCAATGGTATATGTCAAATGTAAATTTCCAAAAAAAAAGATCTACATTCGCGAGTAAGGCAAGGGTCTTGAATTCTGACCTCCTTTCTTTCATAAGTTACGTCAGTTATAAATTCAAAAATTATCTTCCCTTTTCATTATTAAAATTTTGTATTTCCTACTATAGTAACTATTAAAAAATGCCCTCCTCCCCTTAAATTGTGGGGTCTGAAGCACTTGTCTTAATGGCTTATGCATTGAGTCGGGCCTGGGTTGGGGAAGCTACAAGGAGGGATCAAACTCTGTTTGCACCGGTGGTATATTGATGGCTTCTTTTACTTCTGAATTAGCTTGCAACAAGCACCGGTTATTAGGTATTACTTATTAGTGTAAGTTCATTGGTTGCATAAGAGCATTTATCTAGTACTTTTAAAAGCCATGGTGGTTTTAAATTTAGGGACTTTTATCTATCTATACTGCATATGAAACTTATTTACCCTCTCTAATAAGTTTTAACTTAATTACATGGTCATATATAATTTACCAATTATATACAAATTAGTTTCAAATGAGTATCCATTTATATTAGGAATTGAATAAGGAATATCACTTATTTTTCCATCCCTTTATACCTGCTCTCTCCGGGCTAGCTCGAGTCCTACAATCAAAGCTTCATACTCTACTTCATTGTTAATTAGGGGAACAATTCTTATAGCCTGCCTTAGGGTGTTTCCTGAGGGCGTGGTTAACACTATGCTGAGCTCGGACCCCTTCATATTGGAAGCTCTGTCCGTGAACAAGGTCCAAACTTCCGATATCGATTCTAAAACCATCACTGCTTCTTTGGTAGCCAAAGGTAATAATCCCAGACTGAAATCGGCCACAAAGTCGGCCAAAACTTGTGACATAATCGTAGTCCTAGGTTTATACTCTATGTCAAATTCACTAACTTCGACTGCCCACCTAGCCAGCCTACCCGATAGTTTAGGTTTATGGAGGATATTTCGCAAGGGAAAAGTGGTCACCACTGCTATCGGTTAACATTGAAAATAAGGCCTAAGTTTTCGAGCGGCAACGACGAGAGCTAAGGCCAATTTTATCAGATGTGGGTAGCGAGTTTATGCTCCCGTTAAAATTTTACTAACATAATAAATAGGAGATTGCGTACTTTCGTCCTTACCGACTAAAACGACACTTACCGCTACCTCCGAAACCGATAAGTAGATCAACAGTTGTTCGCCTTCCTCTGGTTTTGACAGTAATGGAGGACTTGAAAAATACCTTTTCAAATCTTTCAAACTCTGCTGACATTTCGGAGTCCATTCGAAGTTATTCTTCTTTTTGAGGAATGCAAAGAAATGAGGAATGCAAAGAAATGATGGCATTTTCCCGAAGACCGGAAAATGAATCTGTTCAAAGCGGCCAGTCTCCCAGTCAGCCTTTGAACCTATTTTACGTTTGATAGCTGGTCCGAGATATCTTCGATGGCTTTAATTTTATCGGGATTAACCTTGATCCCCCTTTGCAACACCAGAAATCCCAGGAACTTACCGGAGCTGACCCTAAATGCATACTTCTCGGGGTTAAGCTTCATGTTGTGCTTCCTTACGATGTCAAATGTTTCTTGTAGGTGTTTAAGATGATCACCTGCGTTCAAAGACTTAGCCATCATATCATTTATGTAAACCTCCATATTTTTCATATTTGTTTCTCAAACATTTTGTTTACGAGCCACTGATAAGTGGCTCCGGTGTTCTTTAGCCCCAAAGGCATCACATTATAACAATATGTAGCGAAGTTCATTTTGAACGAAGTTTTTTCCTGATCCTCCGGGTTCATCTTGATTTGGTTGTACCTGAAATAAGCATCAGGAAAACTCATCAACTCGTTCCCGGTCATCACATCAATCATTTGATCATTGTTTGGCAATGGGAACGAGTCATTTGGGCACGCCTTATTTAAATCCTTATAGTACGCACATGCAAAATTTATTATTCTTCTTTGAAACTACTACTACGTTAGCTAACTAGTTAGGATACTTTACCTCTCGGATTGAATCGATATCAAGAAAACGAGTTACCTCTTCTTTGACGAATTTGTTTCTGACCTCGGCAATAGAACGTTTTTTCTGTCTTATCAGAGGGATATTGGGATCCGGCCTTAGTTTGTGCACGAATACTTCCGGTGGGATACCTGTCATATCTGCATGCGACCACGCAAATAGTCAACATTAAATTTAAGGAATTCGATAAATCCAGACCTGAGCCCGGGGTTTAGTCTTGTCCCTAAGTGGAACTTCCTCTCCAAGAACTTTTCGAACAACGCGACTTGTTCAAGTTCTTTCGCTGTGGATTTTGTTGCGTCTATTTCTTCCGGTACCTGGAAGTATCTTGGTACCTGATAGGATTCCGGCGACTCCTCCCCCTGGTTGACTTTACTCGGCTCGGGAGCAAGCGCCAGTTCCTGTAATTGCTATGCTGCATGCTCCTTCCCTTTGCTACTGGAAACTGAGATTGCATTCGTCTTCCTTGCCGCCGGTTGGTCTCCTTTTATTTATTTAATTCCCTCGGGAGTTGGGAACTTCAGCAATTGATGATATATTGACGGTACTGCCTTCATCTCGTGCAACCGTGGTCTCCCCAGGATTATATTATAATCCATATCGCCATCCCTTTGAAGGTCGTCGATCTGTGTTGAAATCATCCTTTAATTTCTCTTTATTCTTCTCCCGGTCCCGACCCTTGGCCGACACCGAGAAACCGAGTTGGTCATCCTCAATTCTTATCTTTGACTCATACCGGTTGTGAATATATGCCCATGTTGTTGCTTGGAACTCGAGCAGACTTTCTTTCAATTTTCGAGAAGTATCAGAACTTCTCAGATTCAACCCTTTAGTAAATGCTTCTGTTGCCCATTCGTTTGGTACGACCGGGAGCAGCATCCTTTCTTTCTGGAATCTAGCCACGAACTCCCACAAAAATTCGGACTCTTCTTGTGCAATCTTGAATATGTCGGCCTTTCAGACATGTACCTTTCTGGCCCAGGTATGGGCCTTAATGAAAGAATCTGCGAGCATCTCGAAAGAATCTATGGAATGCTCGGGCAGGAGTGAATACCATGTCAGGCCCCTCTTTGTGAGGGTCTCTCCGAATTTCTTCCCGTGCGGAGCTAAATCATTTCCCTTCACCGTCGTTGTATATGTGCTGATATGCTCCTGAGGATCTGATGTCCCATCATATTTCGGCACGTCTGGCATTTTGAACAACTTCGTGATCAATTCTGATGCCGCGCTTGGTTTGAACAGTAACTGGTTATATTTATTTGAGTTCGACTCTACGTGTCGCTTTCTCATGCGAACATTTAAAACGAACATATTTTGCCCTATACATTATTGTATCTATTTTAGATTGGTCAACAACGTTAATATACTCATGTAATCGATAGATAATAAGTACAATCTTGTGGTCTAGGGCTTATAATTCGAAAGAAAAGACCTCATAAACTAAGTCATTAAGTTCATAAAATAAATAAAAAGTAGTTTTCTATCTTGAAAAGAATAAACTAATTGGAAATATAAAACTCGACTCATTTATGTTTTGAGTTGAATTTAATTAATATTACCTACTTAAATTAAATGTATATATTTATAAACTTTGTAAAACTATAATGAAAAATTAGTTTGACTACCTCTTATAATAAATAAGAATAGCAATAATAATAATAATAATAATAATAATAATAATAATAATAATAATAATAATAATAATAATAATAATAATAGAAGTAGTAGTAGTAATAATAATAATAATAATAATAATAATAATAATAATAGTAATAATAATAATAATAATATAATAATAATAATAACACCCAATAAGAGGAGACGGACTTTTTTTCTCGTGTCCTTCTCTTTCCCTATATCTCCTGGACTCAATAGACTGCGAGGAGTTTCATAGAAATCAAAGGGACAACTAAACCCAACTTCATCATCACTCTCAGTCCGAGCCCAAAAGTAGTGGCCCATGGACTCTTCCACCGTTGACGGCAGCGCGTCGCTTCCATCCACCGGAACCGACGCGAAGAAGCGCCGCGTCTCATACTTCTACGAGCCCACAATCGGCGACTATTACTACGGGCAAGGTCACCCAATGAAGCCTCACCGTATACGTATGGCCCACAATCTCATCGTACACTACTACCTACACCGTCGTATGGAAATCAGTCGCCCTTTTCCGGCGGGTCCCGATGACATTCGCCGGTTCCACTCGCCGGACTACGTCGACTTCCTTTCCTCCGTTTCGCCGGAGACTCTTCATGACCATACCCACGCGCGTCATCTCAAACGCTTCAATGTTGGTGAGGACTGCCCTGTTTTTGATGGGCTTTTCGGGTTTTGTCAGGCTTCTGCTGGTGGATCTATTGGTGCTGCTGTTAAGCTTAATAGGCAAGACGCTGATATAACTATCAACTGGGCCGGTGGGCTCCACCATGCAAAAAAAAGTGAAGCTTCTGGATTTTGCTATGTCAATGATATTGTTCTCGGTATTCTTGAGCTCCTCAAAGTTCATAGGGTAAACACTTTTTACTTGCTAATATTACATTTTTTGTTTTTGTAATAAATATTTCCTGATAGTCTACTTTATATTACATGCGGTCTAATTTAATTAATTTTTTGGCTGTTTCCAAGAAATTCACCTTTTACGGTCAGTTAACAATTAAATTGACCATATTAACCTCAATTTGTTCATTGAAAATATAACAAGCACAAAATAAGTTAATTACTTCTTGATATATGAAAAAATTAAATATTATGGACCACAAGAAAAGGCCAAAAAATCAATTAAAGTGGACCAAAAAATCAATTAAAGTGGACCGGAGGAAGTAAATAAGGTACATTGTTTTGACATATATTAAAGAATTTAAGCTATATACAGTGTCATTGGAAAGAATTTTTACACCGTCTGTTTACCTTTGCCTGTTGTAGCAGGTAACATGTGTCAACAGTATAGTCTGGCTACAATAATGAATCAAAAACACTCTAGGCACAAACCAAATGAAGGATTTTGTTGTAACTTTAACTTTAGTCTTTACATTCTGTTTTCAATAAAATGAGCCAAATACTTGTGCCTAAGCCTTGGTGGGCAGATGCCCTGTACCTATGCTGGTAGGAGGTAGCAAGTGCGTGGTAGAATAATCGAGGTGTGCATAAGTTGGCCTGGATACCACCGTCAACAACAACAACAACATACCCAGTATTATCCCATACCATGGGGTCTGGGGAGGGTACTGTGTACGTAGACCTTACTCCTACCTTGTGAGGATAGAGATGCTGTTTCCAATAGACCCTCGGCTTAAGAAAGCATAAGCACCACATTAATACAAATATAGACAAGAAGGGACAGTACCAAAAAGCCATATAAAATCAGAATAAAAACAACAAGATAGTAAGGTGATCAACAATGATAGAAAATAACGGTTTGTCATAAAAAACTTATACCAACAGAAAGCAAGACTGCGTGCCAATACTACTGTTATGAACACCCTAGACTACCTACTCTACTACCCTAATCCTCGACCTCCATACCTTCCAATTAAGGGTCATCCTCAGTCAGCTAAAGCTGCGCCAGGTCTTGCCTAATCACCTCTCCCTACCTCTTCTTTGGCCTACCTCTACTTATCTGTAGGCCCTCCAATGTCAACCTCTCACACCTCCTCATCGGAGCGTCTGTGCTCCTCCTCACATGACCAAGCCACCTAAGCCGCGCTTCCCGCATCTTGTCCTCAATAAGGGCCACATCCACCTTGTCGCGAATAACCTCATTTTTTATCCTATCTAACCTGGTGTACCCGCACATCCATCTCAACATTCTCATCTCTGCTACCTTCATCTGTTGGACATAAGCGATCTTGACTGGCCAACACTCAGCCCCATGCGACATTGTTGGTCTGACCACTACTCTATAGAACTTACCTTTAAGTTTCGATGGCCCTTATTGTCACACGGAACACCGAAAGTGAGTCTCCATTTCATCCATCCCACCCCAATACGATGTGTGACATCTTCATCAATCTCCACACCCCCCTGAATAATAGACCCAAGGTACTTAAAACTTCCTCTCCTTTTCTGCACTGTTCGGTGACTGTTCAGGTTTGGAACATATTTATAGCACTAACAGGGATTCAATGGGTCACGCCCAACAGCACCATGGAAATGTTGTCATGCTGGAACAAGGGGAGAAGATCTGTAAGTGAGAAGAAGAGATGGGGTATGATTCCTGCATGCATATGATGGACGCTTTGGAATGAGAGGAATTCAAGATGTTTTGAAGACAATGCTAACTCAATTCAGAAGATTAAAATGAATTGCCTACTGCTTTTTCATTTTTGGTGTAAACTGGAATACATAGAGGACTCAGAAGCTATAATAGATGTTCTTGGGTCTTTGTAAGAAGATAGATAAATTGATGTATATTTTTGGTTACTCCCTGTGTAATTATGGCATGCACAGCCTTTGTGCTTTTGAATATAGCAAATTGTTATCATCTCAAAAAAAAAAAAAATTCCTCTCCTAGGGATGACCTGCATGTCCAACCTCACCTTCCTTTCTCCTCCTTGAATCTCGCCACTGAACTTACACTCCAAGTATTCTGACATTCTGTCTTGGTCCTGCTCAATTTGAAACCTTTAGACTCCAGGGTTTGCCTTCTTACCTCTAATTGCGCGTTCACACCGTCTCCCGTCTCATCAATCAATACAATGTCATCTGCAAATAGCATGCACCATGGCACCTCACCTTGGATGTGGCGCGTGAGTACGTCCATCGCCAGAGCAAACAAAAAAGGGCTGAGTGCCGACCCCTGATGCAACCCCATCATAACCGTAAAATGGTCTGAGTACCCACCCACCGTCCTCACTCGGATCTTTGCTCCATCATACCCGTCCTTAATCAACCTAATGTAGGCAACAGTTACACCTCTAGCCTCCAAACATCTCCATAAAAACTTCCTCAGAACTTTATCGTATTTCTTTTCTAAGTCGATGAACACTATATGCAAGTCCTTCTTTCTCTCCCTATACTTCTCCATCAATCTCCTAACAAGGTGTATCACTTCTGTAGTCTAACGCCCCGGCATAAACCCGAATTGGTTTTCGGAAATAGACACGCTCCTCCTTACCCTTAGCTCTACCACTCTCTCCCAGACTTTCATAATATGGCTAAGCAGCTTGATACCCCAATAGTTATTGCAATTTTGGATATCACCCTTGTTCTTGTATACAGGAACCATCGTGCTCCACCTATACTCTTTGGGCATCTTCTTTGTTCTAAAAATGACATTAAATAACCTAGTGAGCCACTCCAAGCCTGCCTTGCGCGCACTCTTCCAAAACTCCATTGGGATTTATTCGGCCTGGTCGCTTTGCCCCTGCTCATCTTACGCATAGCCCCCTCAACTTCATCAACTCTAATCCGCCTACAATACCCAAAGTCACAACGACTCCCAAAAAGTTCCAAATCACCCAGTACGAAGCTCCTGTCCCCCTCCTCGTTCAAGAGACTATGGAAGTAGGTCTGCCATCTCCGACGGATAAGCCCCTCACCCAACAAAACTCTACCTTCTTCATCCTTGATGCACTTCACTTGGTCCTAGTCACGCGCCTTCCTTTCTCGCGCCTTGGCTTACTTGAACAACCCCTTATCCCCACCTCGGCCCTCGAGTTCCTCATACAAACGACTAAAAGTTGCAGTCTTGGGCGCCGTAACTGCTAGCTTTGCCTCTTTCTTAGCCTCCTTATAATGCTCCCTATTCGCCCTCTTCTCCTCCTCGTATACATTTTCCACTAGCTTCAGATACGCTGCTTTCTTGGTTTCCACTTTTCCTAACACCTCTCAATTCCACCACTAGTCTCCCTTGTGACCACCAGAGTAACCCTTTGAGATCCCTAATACCTCTCTCGCGGCTTCCGTAATGCACTGCGCAGTCGTGGTCCCCATAGTGCTTGCGTCCCCACTACTCCTCAAAGCCCCCATAGTCAACAACTTGACCCCCAACTCCTGCGCTTTAGCTCTCGTCAAGGCTCCCCACTTGATCCTATGTTAGCTATACATCGCCCTCTTCCTCCTCTTATTTTGGATACCACCGTCACAGGAAAAAAAAAACAAAAAAAAAAAGATGAGCAAAATACTGGTCTATAGAAGCATATTGTCCCCTATGTGACTACCCACATATTATCTTATGGTTGTATGATGAATATTTTTGTATTAAGTGAACATTCTTTTCGGTATCCTCTCGTTTCCCGCTCCTATTATTCCTAGCACCAATGTAGGACAAAAGCAAATAACTTTAGGCTTGAACTTAAACCCTTGGATGAACTCGGTAGCATTGCCTTAATGCTAACCTTGTTGTGCTTTTGAATCACTAACTCTTCATTTGACAATTAAGTCATCTTGATTATTATAGTGTCCTCCTTTATAAAATTACTACTCCCTTTGTCTAGTTTTATGTGACCTGTTTGACTATTTGAGGTCAAAATTATAATGATTAACTCAAAAATCGGTAGCAAAATGTGAAAATTGAAACAGTACTTCAAGAGTTAATCTGATGATTGATTTTTCAAAATGTTTATAACTGTCATGATCAAACGTAAAAAAAATTTGAGTACAGAGGTCAAACAGTGACATATGAATTGCAACAGGAGGGAGCATAATGTACCATACCCAGATAACAATTAGTGACTATTGAAAATTGCTGGGAGTACCTACTGTGTTTGATGAACTTTAAGGTTCCCAGAAATTTCTGATATCTCCAACTAGAAAGCAGTAGGCAAGGGGGTAACTTAACAGCTCTATCTCCTTCTTGTGAATACTCTATTTTAGATTTTAGACTCACTCCTTATTTGGATAAAATTTAAGCTAAGTTAAAAAAAGAGTGAGATGACTGATTTCGTTTTCTTTGGGATCTAGGACTAAGGAAAATCAGTTCAGAGTTATATTTAGGTGTTTGATCCTAGTGTCTATTTAATTTTTTATCCAATGTTATTGAAGTATTTCTATTTCCTTATTCCTTCATGTTCACAAGTCAAGATGTATTAAACCTTGATAATTTGTTTGTTTTGACATAGTGCTTTATCAACAATTTATAAACATCAACTGTATATGTCAATTTATGTTTCATTTGAATTTTGAGTTTTGTATGCTTCAGTATTGATGTTCTTTTGGAGTCTTGTTTATTGTTTTAATCATGAAACTTGGTTAAGGTTGAAAGCATATATGATCGTAAGTTTTTTTTTTTTTTTGAAACAGAATATGTTTGTAAGATTGTTGTTAGATTACAAAAGGTAACCATCAAAAGTCATATCGCACAGTGAAAAATTCTCACCTTTGGATGTTTATATGGATGTTGCATTGGATCATATGTTTATCAATTTGTTCGATTTTTACCAAACATATATTGACATATGAAATTCTTTATTTGTAGATCTAATAGATTTAATTCAATGAATTTCTATTTACTGTGACTAATAAAGCCGTAAAAACGAGAAAAGCTGAAACCATAAAACCGGTTCTGTTGGTTTGGTTTATATATTTAGCAAACCGACATGGTTAGTTTGGTTTGGTTTTAGGTAAAAATCGAGTTAAACTGAACCGTGAACACCCTAAAATGTAACAACCATTTTGTATTTATTACAAAAAGAAAGAACTACAACTCATGTAAAGAAGTGATGATGCCGTCATTTAGTAGGGGTGCCTTGTACTTTTTCATGTTTTTGTAGATTGGGTGAAAAAGAATTTCTGTGTCTAATACATTATGTGGCCCTGCCCTTATGTGTAAGTTTCTGGTAAACCATTTTGAGGATGAGGCAAACAAAAGGGTATGCATGATGCCCATGGTTTATATCCTTGTGGATTGGTTGATTCAGGTTGTAGCATTTGGTGTAACTTCAGAGAAGTGTTATATGCAGGGAATAAATCATACTTACTGTCTTTATGAATTATTGAAGGTATGGAAGCTTAAATTACTTATCCGAGGAAATGGAAAAAGAAAAAACAAAAGCATTAGCAAGTCCCTAGTTTAAAGTTAAGTAAAGCAGATAACTTGAATTTGATTCTGTCAAATCTATGCTGGAGAATTTGAAAAAACCTGCCTATTATAGTATTTTCATTGTATTAGATAAGATAGATCTGTTCCATCTCTGTGGAAACATCTCACGTATCATAAAGACAAGTTAAAGAAATATTGACACATTACAATTTCAAGTTGCAATCTAGTTCCACCTCTACGTACATATATTTGTTAAAACACCTCTCAAGTGATTAATCACATTGAATCTCAATAGAACTTACTAATTACTAGGTTTAGTACTAATCTGTAAGATTTTTAGGGAATGGAACTTAGTTGATTGCTCGTCATTTCTCTGCTTATCAAATATAAGGCGCAGGGCATGGACTGTTGCTCCACTAGCAATCATGTGGGTTATTTGGAGAGAGAGAAACAGAAGAGCTTTTGAATGGGTAGAGATGAGTTTTATTCAGTTGAGAAGTAGCCTCTTTTTCCTTGTTTTCTTTTGGTGCAGCCATGAAGCTCCTTGTTGTATAGAAGATTGGGTGTCTTTCGTAGAGAACCATAGCTTTTTGTAGGTTCTCTAGTTTTTGGTATACCTCTTGTATATGGGTGCTTTTGTTTTGGCCCATTCATTTACGAAAATTTGCTTACTTGATAAAAATTCATTATGGGATCTGGATAATTGTAGCATGTTTGTCTTTACATGCATTAATAAGCTATGGCTTCACAGCATCTTTTGCTTGGATCCACTCTTTTGCATGGAATAGAGATTCTTCTGAGTTACTGTTCCTCTGAAATGTTGAGTGTTTTCTGCAGCGTGTATTGTATATAGACATAGATATTCACCATGGTGATGGTGTTGAGGAGGCTTTTTTCACAACGGATAGAGTCATGACAGTGTCTTTCCATAAGTTTGGGGACTTCTTTCCCGGTACAGGGCATATCAAAGATATTGGTGCAGGTCAAGGGAAATACTATGCCCTAAATGTCCCATTGAATGATGGGATGGACGACGATAGTTTTGGTCGTCTATTTCGTCCCGTAATTCAAAAAGTCATGGAGGTCTATCAACCTGATGCTGTCGTTCTTCAATGTGGGGCTGATTCACTGGCTGGAGACAGGTTGGGTTGCTTCAACTTGTCTGTCAAGGGCCATGCAGACTGCCTTAGATTCCTCAGATCTTTCAATGTCCCTCTAATGGTATTGGGGGGTGGAGGTTATACCATAAGAAATGTTGCGAGGTGCTGGTGTTATGAGGTCCTCTTACCTTTCCATCTTGCTCTTTTGTGTCTACTTTTCGGATTCCCTACTGTTACTACTGTGTGTTTCAGAATATGTGCTAAGTTTCAACTGCTTGTTGCAGACAGCAGTTGCAGTTGGGGTAGAACCAGGAAATAAATTGCCTTACAATGAATATTATGAGTATTTTGGCCCAGATTATACTCTTCATGTTGAACCAAACCCCATGGAGAATAAGAATTCACCCAGGGATCTGGAGAAGATCAGGTAATTTGACAATTGTGCTACTTCCTGTAGTTTGAGGGCTTTTCCATCATCGTCTGTCGAAAATACTGACCTTATCTAATTTTCTGGGTGTGTTAGTTGAACATCTCTTTCCTATGCATTTGTATGCATTATTTTGGTGCTGAACAGAATTATGTTGAAGTTCTTTTAATTTGGGCATGTAACATAGTTGATAACAGATAATCGGTAATACTGGTACATCAAATTGATGCCTCGGTGTATTTGAGATAAATTCTGTTATTCTATCGGTAACTCGATTATACTAGTATAGGACATTTCAGGTTCATCCACGAACAGGACATTTTGGGTTCATCCACACATGAATAGGACAATTTCGGGTTCGTCCACCCGTGAATAGGGCATTTTGGGTTTGTCCACCCATGAATGGGACATTTGGGGTTCGTCCAACCAATAGGGTATTCTGGGTTCGTCCACCCAAGAACAGAGGCTGAGCCAGAATTTGAAGTTTATGGATTCTGAACTTACCACCAAACTCATAGATCCTTTTAGTTATTGGGTTCGCAATTAAATATTTATACGTATTTAATGGATTTCGTAATACAAAGATAGGGTATACGCAAAAGCTATTGGGTTCGTCTTGGACTCGCAGTGATACTCTAGCTCCCCCTCTGCCCAAGAATAGGCCACTTTGGGTTCGTCCACCCAAGAATAGGACATATCGGGTTATTCCACTCAAGAATAGGGAATGATTCTGCTTTTTGTTTTGTTAATGATGGTGAACTCTATACTCTATATGCAATTATTTGATATAATATGCTGACAAAGCATATTCTTTCAATCCATAAGTTCCTAATTTTCTTCCTTAGGCAACTTGTGAATTCAGACAATTATGTCCCTCTTTTCCTTTTTTTTTTTTGTGTGAATACACAACCCTGTAGATGTTACTTGACATGAATGCTTGCTGGCTGCAGGAACATATTGCTCGAGCAACTCTCGCAATTACCTCATGCACCTAGTGTTCCATTTCAAACCACTCCTTCAACAACAGAAGTTCCAGAGGAGGTTAGTGGCTGGTACAAGGCCTTGATCATTTAATTTCTACATATACTACACAACCTTATTCTAGGGCTTCTGACTGCAGGAAGAGGAAGATATGGATCAAAGACCAAAACCACGTATATGGAATGGAGAGGATTATGAGTCTGACGCTGATGAAGATGAGCATCCTAGACAACGAAGTTCAGATAGTAATCTTACTCCAGTCGAAACAACTGACATGAGGTAGGGCCTCAAGTTGCATTAATCACATTTGTGAAGTCTCTGAATATTTGTGTTTTGTAAACTGAAGCACACTTGTTTATCCTCTACTGTCTTTTACATTTTTGGAAAGTCGTTACTTGATAAGGCTCTGGTATTTGGTTGAATGTTTACTGGTTTGAGCTTTAACTTGTAATGTGTGAACGAATGTGGTGAGACCAGCCTTAATCAACCTTTGCTTTGGAGAAGATTCTGATTAAGACACCCAAAGAAATTTTATTGTCAAGATTTAGCGCTTTTACGAAATGAACATTCCCTTCTATAAAAAGCTGAAGTGATGTGGCTTGTGATGCAGGGATGTCGACGACCAAGCCAAAGTAGATGACGACATGGTTGATGCTGATCACTAGTTCAAAGCTATCTTCTACATCTTGGCAAGTGCAATAACTGATAATTGGTTCTGGGTTGAAATTACAAGCTGTGATCTTTGGACCTTCCCCTCTACTTATCAATTGTTCCTCAGTCTCCTGTGCTAAATGGAGTAGAAATATGAGCTGTTATACATGGGAAAGTTGCACTTGAATGTGGCAATGGAGTATTCTAAGTGAGCTCAAGTTTTGTTTTTGCAGATTAACTGTGTAGATTGTAGTTCGTTGGTTTTAGACTATAGATTTATGAGTTACATGCTAAAAGTGGGAGCCGGATGCTATCCCTTGGAAACGGACAGTTGCATCACAAAAGTAAACAGTGTCCTTTGTTCTTACCGATATCCGTGCTGATAAATCTGTTGTCTGTGAGGGTTATCCATGTAGTACTGTTGATTATCCATGTAATTTTCAGACAATGATAATTCAACTTCTTATGTAGAAAACAAGATTATTTTAAATAGAGGGTGGTGATCATTGATCAGTCTCCTACTTATCAATAGTAGTTGTATAGGTCCAAATTTGATAATCACGACGGGGTCGACCACGACACAGCGACTGACGGTCGTTGTGATAAAGGCCGATGACTAGAAGCGGGCCGCTAGAGTAAGATAATAATAAAGGTAACCTAAACTTAGGAAGAGACTAGAAGAATATTCCTTTGGATATTCTTTATGTTGTAGTTTTTAGGTTTTTTTTTGGTAATGTCCCTTATAAATAGGAGGAAGTAGTGACCAATAGGGAGATCTGCCTCTTTGGTAACCAAGAATCATATTGTAAAGTAGAGAGAAGAATACACGAAAGAGTTGTCTTGTTCACTTTATTCAAGCACTTGTTATTTAACTTTCATCCATAAATCTCAGAGGTTCCGCATTCATATCAACTGCATACCCTTTCACATCGTCAGAAAGAAGAGACACCCAATCATATAATCATTGGGTGAAAGTTCCTTCACACTATAATCATTATCGTTTCTTACATTTATTGTACATTTATGATATTACATATTTCATCAATCTTAGTATATTGAACTCATTAATTAATGCTCTTAAACTCTTCTCACTATATAAGAATCTCGCTCTATTTGATCTAGGATTTATTAAGCTTAACTGAGATTCACCCCATCATCTTGTTACTACTTAGTTTAGCAATTATTTGCTCAAACAATTTGGCGCCGTCTGTGGGGAGCTTTTTAGTTGAAACTATAGTTCTTTCTAGATCATAAAAAAAAATCTCTTCCTTGTTTGTACAAACTAACAATGGTAAGAAAAGAAGACGCGAGGTTGAAGACGATAGTAGGTGTCACCACCAACATCTTGAACACCATCAACGAAGATGGCAGAGAAGACAACGAGAACGCAACACCAAATGCTACGCCCAGGCGGAGCGTCTCACCTCCCCCTCGCGAAAGCGTAACAGTTTCACGCGAAAAAGGAGCCTCCACGTCAATAACTGATGAAGCACCACCGGCAGTGAAAAAGCTACTAGAAGAGTGGCTGACAAGTACTCTAAACAACATACTCGACAGACCCGTCCAAAGGGATAATAGAAATACCGCACAGGTAGATATCACAACAACAACTGGCGAGCAGTCCGCCCCCGAAACAGGTAACACTTATACCACTGTTGGCGCATGTAATGATGCACTCACAGCCATTCTAAAGAAAATGGAAGATATGGAAAACGAAAATAAGGCACTCCGTGACCAGATGAAGTAGCACCAAGAAAGGGTTAAAATAAGATACCAGGTGCCCCAAAGTTGCTACCGAAACGAGACGTTGGTCGATTCGTCGAGCAATCGTACAACGAGGAAGCAGCTCCCCATGCCATTCCCAAAACCTTCAAATTGCCACCGTACCTGAAAATATACGATGGCACTAGAGACCCAGAAGATCATATCGTCCACTACGCCACAGCAGTGAAGGGTAACAACCTTTCGAAGGAGCAAGTTCCAACGGTGCTACTGAAAAAGTTCGGCGAAACCCTAACAGGGGAGCCCTAACTTGGTACTCACAATTGCCGGCACGGTCAACAGCAACGTTCGAGGAAATGGCCGACAAGTTTGTCACTGCTCATGCAGGAGCTAAAAAGGCGGAAGCCAGGGTGAACGACATATTCACCGTTAGGCAATCGCCTGGCGAAGGACTTAGGGACTTCCTCGCCCATTTTAATAGGGTGAGAATGAGCCTGCCAAATGTATCAGAGGGGATGGCGGTAGTAGCCTTCCAGAACGGGTTAAGCAGAAACGGGTCGAGAACAACTAGAAAACTATTAAATAGACTCATGCCCCCCACCACTTGGCAAGAAATTCACAATGCCTATTGCGCCGAGGACGATCTCAACGGTCTGACCCAACGACTGACATCAGTTCAAGCAGAAATGAGGAAAGATCGTCGTAACGACGGTCGAAGGGATCAGTTGGGTCCCCGTTCGGCCGAGAAAGACATCAGCCCTACATCTGAACAGCCGCCCCACCACCTCCTCGACACCTGGAAGGGCCTCCCAGGCCTCATACCGGGACACGAAAAAGGTATGCCCCCGCTCTTATCTGCTCACAATTTTTGTGTCTCCCCTTCAGAAATAGTGTATGCACTAGAGAAGCTCGGCACGAAGGTGAAATGGCCACAAAAGATGAAGTCCGACCCGAATACTCGAAAGTCAGACGCCCTCTGTGAATTCCACCAGGAACGAGGTCACAAAACTGAGGACTGCATAGGTCTGCGGTAAGAGGTAGTGAGAATGCTGAACCAAGGGCACCTGAAAGAATTAATGAGCGACCGAGGACGAGCCAACTTCGGGCGTGGACGTGAACAGCACCAGGGGCCTCCAAAGCCACCCTCCCCTGCTCGTACTGTCCAAATGATCGTGAGCAAAGGCGATAAAGCAGCGTTCAACCATGTTAAATTCACCACTACACACAAACTCAAGCGGTCGATCGCCCATGAACGGTATGATGACCTCGAAGACAGTATCATCTTCAATAAGTCAAATACCGGCGGTTTGACTTTCCCTCATTACGATGCTTTTGTCATTACTTTATGTATTTCAAATAATGATGTAAAAAGAATAATGGTAGATGACGGAAGCGGCACATGTATTATCCATCCTCGAGTCCTCGTACAGATGCGACTCGAGGACAAGATAATACCGCATTGCATAACACTAACAGGTTTTAATAATGTAGTTAAGTAAACTTCTGGAGAAATAACGCTACCCGTTTTTGCCGGAGGAGTCACCCTAGAAACAACATTTCATATCATGGACCAAGATACAGCCTACAACGCCATCATAGGATGGCCGTGGATACACACCATGAGGGCCATCCCGTCAAGCCTATATCAAGTAATCAAGTTCCCTACCCCATGGGGAGTATTTAGCATCTGTGGCGAACAACGCACTGCTCAAGAATGCTATCGTATCGCCCAAGATTGCACACACACCCAACAACTAAAGGAAACAAGCGCGGAGGCATAGCAATTAGCGATGCCGGAAGACAAATCCGACGCACAGATAGACATTATCAAGGATCCCGACATCGTGGAAGCCGCTGAGTTGACAGTAGAGGATCTTGATCTCGTCCAACTAAACAGCAACGACAACACAAAGGGCACAATCTCACAGAACCAGGTATATTTCATAAATTCTTAGCTAAGAATGCCGATTTGTTTGCCTTCTCCCACTCAGATATGCCAGGCATCCCAAAAGACATCGCTACGCACAAGTTGAACGTCGACCCGCTCTATCCACCAGTACGGCAAATAAGGAGAAAATTCAATGCCGCAATTAATGAGGCCGTCAGCGATGAAGTTGATAAGCTGCTCGCCAATGGTTCTATCCGAGAGTCAAAATATCCCGAATGGGTCGCAAATGTGGTCATGGTAAAGAAGAAAAACGGGAAATGGCGGATGTGTGTATATTTCACAGATCTAAACAAAGCATGCCCGAAAGACTCTTTTCCCCTGCCTTATATCGACCAACTCATCGATGCAACAGCAGGACACGAACTGCTGAGCTTTTTGGATGCCTACTCGGGTTACAACCAAATCCTCATGGAGGAGGAAGACCAGGAGAAAACTACTTTCATCGCCCATCAGGGAACGTACTGTTACAAGGTTATGCCATTCGGGTTAAAGAACGCAGGGGCCACGTATCAAAGGTTGGTCACCAAGATGTTTAAAGACCAACTCGGCAAAACAATGGAAGTTTACATCGATGACATGTTGGTCAAATCCAAAAGGAAAGAGGACCACATCGACCACCTTACAGAGGTCTTCGACATATTAAGACGGTACGGGATGAAACTAAACCCCAAAAAATGTGCCTTCGGCATGACTTTGGGCAAATTCCTCGGTTTCTTGCTATCACAAAAAGGCATCGAAGTCAATCCAGACCAGATCAAGGCCATCGAAGGAATACCCGAAATATTAACTAGCAAAAAATAGGTACAAAAGCTGACTGGCCGGATAGCCGCCCTGTCAAGGTTCATCTCACGGTCATCCGATAGATGCCATAAGTTTTTCAATGTGCTGAAAACAGAAAACGGACTCCAATGGAATTCAGACTGCATCGAGGCCCTGAGAAAACTAAAAACATACTTGTCCTCGCCACCACTACTCGCCAAAGCAGAACTCGGCGAACGCCTCCTAGTCTACCTAGCAGTCTTAGAAGTCGCGGTAAGCGCAGTTTTGGTCCGCAAAAACAAAGGTACGCAATCCCCGAATTATTATATCAGCAAAACCTTGGTCGATGCCGAAACGAGGTATCCCCACCTCGAGAAACTGGCTCTGGCACTGGTCGTAGCTTCACGAAAGCTTAGACCATATTTTCAATGTCACTCCATATCGATGGTGACGACTTACCCCCTAAGAAGCATCCTGCATAAACTCGAATTATCGGGAAGATTGGCCAAGTGGGCCATAGAATTGAGCGACCACAATATAACATATCAGCCGCGAACGACGATAAAATCACAGGTACTCGCCGACTTCAGTGCCAAAATATTGTCCGAGGTCGAGCAGGAAACGCTTCGCACCTCTCCTGGACAGCCCGACCTCTGGGTCCTTTACACCGATGGTGCATCTAATGCGTCGGGATCCGGGGCTCTTTCTATTCTAAAATATTTCATATGTCTTTATTTCTTGGGACTCGTACTTGAAGTCCCAACAGGCGAAGTGATTCGCCAATCCATACGGTGCCCCAAAATGACTAACAATGAGGCTGTAACTGCAGGATTAAAACTAGCCCTCAAATACGGAGCACGACGAGTCGTCCTCAGATGCGACTCACAAGTTGTTTTTAACCAAGTTACTGGGAGTTTCCAAATCAAGGAGCAAAGGCTATAGAAATATCATGCGGAAATCCATAAACTACTGCCAGAATTCGATGAATGCCGACTCGACCAGATACCCCGGGTGCAAAATATCGAAGCAGATGGCCTCGCCAAACTGGCAGGAACAACCAAAAATATCACCAAGGAGAATGTGGTCACCCTCCTCCACTCGTCAATAGACTGAATTGAGGTACATTCTATAAATTTGACTTGGGACTGGCGCAACCGCATCATGACATATTTGCAGGAGGGAACACTCCCACAAGACAAAAGGAAGCCAAAAAGCTTCGAATGCAGGCGGCCAGGTACAGCCTCATAAATCACGACCTTTACAAGAGAACGTTCGGCGACCCCTTGGCTAAATGCCTAGGGCCGAGTCAGACAAGGCGCGTGCTCGAAGAAGTACATGAGGGTCATTGCAGTGCCCATACAGGCAACAGAGCCCTCGTCAGATGCCTCATTCGGGCAAGATACTATTGGCCCACCATGAAAAAGGAAGCCGCAGATTATGTCAAAAAATGCAAACAGTGTAAAAAATATGCACCTATGATACATCAAGCGGGCGAAAACCTCCACTCTGTTACTTCTCCATATGGCCGTTCATCAAATGGGGGATGGACATCGTCGGGCCCCTCCCAGCAGGGCGAGGTAAGATACGTTTCCTTTTAGTTTTAACTGACTACTTTTCCAAATGGGTGGAAGCAGGTGCGTTCACCCAAATACGCGAACAGGAAGTCATCGCATTCATATGGAAAAATATCATATGCCGTTTCGGCATCCCTAAAGAAATCAGTTGCGACAATGGGCCCCAATTCACCGAGAGAAAGACCACCGCGTTCTTCGAGAAATGGCACATCAAGAGAATACTCTCCACGCCATACCATCCCGCAGGCAATGGTCAGGCTGAATCCTCCAACAAGACAATACTGAACATTTTAAAGAAAAAGCTCGAGGACGCTAAAGGTTTGTGGCCGGAGTTGCTACCAGAGGTATTATGGGCCTACCGCACTACGCCAAAAACAAGCACAGGCGAAACGCCATATTCACTAGTCTACGGGACTGACACCATGATACATGTTGAGGTCGGAGAACCCAACCTAAGGTACTCCAACAAAAGTGGACGGGACAACGACGAGAAAAGAAAACAAGACCTCGATGAGGCAGAAGAACGAAGAGACATGGCTTACATAAGAATGGTAGCCCAAAAATAATAGGCAGAAAGGTACTACAACAAAAAGGTCAAAGTACGACCACTCAAAGTCAGAGACTATGTTCTCAAAGCCAAAACACTAGCAAGCAAAGATCCGAAGGAAGGCAAATTAGGAACCAATTGGGACGGGCCGTACAAAATCACTGCAGCAGCGAGCAAAGGAACATTCCAACTAGAAACAATGGAAGGAAAACTACTACAAATAATTGGAACGTCGCTCACCTCAAATACTTCAACTTCTGAAAAAGGACGCCCCCCGAAATCGTACTCTTTTTCCCTCGCCCGGGTTTTGTCCCAATTGGGTTTTCTCGATTAGGTTTTTAACGAGGCGACGAAGGGGACGTCACGAAGTTCAAAGTATAATTCATCGCCTCGCCTGCCGATTGTCTCTCCAGGACGACCGATGAAGGGACTAGATATATGGAAACTTCTCCAATATGTGTATGAAACGAACATGTATAGTATTCTCCAGTGTATGAAATAAAGCAACATTTTGTACTCTCCACCAAGATATTCTCCAATGAGTGAAACAAAGCAACGTTTTATTCTCCATCACTTAACAATTCGACATCGCTCGAATTTCAACGGGTTAACATTTCGACCTTAACTCGAAATAACACCCATACGGCCAAGGGCCATCGCCAAAAGAAAATTTGACATCGCTCGAATTTCAACGGGTTAACATTTCGACCTTTAACTCGAAATAACACCCCTACGGCCAAGGGCCATATCCAAAAGAAAATTCGACATCGCTCGAATTTCAACGGGTTAACATTTCGACCTTAACTCGAAATAACATCCCTACGGCCAAGGGCCATCGTCAAAAGAAAATTCAACATCGCTCGAATTTCAACGGGTTAACATTCGACCTTAACTCGAAATAACACCCCTACGGCCAAGGTCCATCGCCAAAAGAAAATTTGACATCGCTCAAATTTCAACGGGTTAACATTTCGACCTTAACTCGAAATAACACCCCTACGCCAAGGGCCATCGCCAAAAGAAAAAATTCGACATCGCTCAAATTACTTTAACATTGGACCTCGCTCGAATCTCTTTACCTCGCCCAAAACAGTACACGAGAGGCCGAAAAGCCGGAGACCCCTCACAACAAACAAAAATAACAATGCGAAGGTAAACAACAAAAAGATAGTCATTCCATTGCAACTGTTATATTACAAAAAATTTATACAAAGGGCTTGGAGACTCCCTCACAAAAATAGCAAAAACAAAATAAATACAACAGTCCTACGCCGCGTCGTCTCCCGCAGCACCCCGCCAGGATCGTAACTGCATGCCTCACGAGCTGTGTGTGCTTTAACACGTACACCCTCGAGTTCTGCCTCGGAAACCTTTCCGTTAGCCTGCAGGGACAGCCTCGCCCCCGTCCACCTCATTGTCCCGATCGGACCAAGGGTTAAGGCGGCCACCCGAGCCTGAAGGTCGGCATTCTCAGTCGTTATCCCCTTGCTCACTTCAAGCTCATCATCCTTGGCCTTAAGGGCCGCCTCAAGCTCGCTACATCGACCAATGGCCCTCATCAGTTCGTCGTCCCGCTCTTTCAGCTCTTCAACCTTCTGTGCCAACTCTTCCTCTTTTTGCTTAAGCCCATCACGAAACAGCTGAAGCACGGTGCTTGGTGTGATACTCTTTGTACTTAGAGGCCAACTTCCCGAACACGACCGTCCTCCGTTCATCCCTCCGATCGCGCTCAATCTCCATGATAAGAGTCTGATATGCCTCTAAGAAAGTCGACTTAAATAGATTACGCATACAAAACAAATCCAAAAGAGGGGAAGAGTGAAAGCACTTACCCGCAAAGCCATGCCGGAAATACTCCGCGATAAGAGATGGAATGTTAATCGTAAATGGAGTTCTTCTCCCCAATATCTACTCATTCTCTGTTTTTACGCCTTATAATGCCCTTAATCTTTCTGCAGCCACTGCTTGGGCGTCTCACGCGGTCCCCGAACTCGATGATTGGTTCCGAAAGTTAGCTGCCACCTCCTCTTACGATGAGCGCAAATGGCGTGAATTATCGAGGGGCAAGTGGGAGGCCAAACATCATGGTAAATTCTCTTCCCAAGTTTATGATACTTTTCATATATTGATGGCATCGTCTCATTCGTATTTACTTGTGCAGGCATCGGAGATGTCTCCGAAATGAGGCCAGCCCCACTCGGGGAAGGGACCAAACCTTCGATTCCGAAATCGTGGAAGGACAACAAAAGGAAGAGGGTTTCAAATCCTGAAGACCTTCAAGACAAGAAAACCCCTGCTCGGAGGCTACGGAAGAGATTTGCTCATGTGGACGCAGATCCGGCCCACGATTCCCCAGATGACAAAGAAAATGATGGTGCAGAGTCGGCCTTGGTGACTCGAACCAAGAAATCAATCGAGACTGCCAAGCCCTCCGAACTAGAGACTTCATCCCGTGGCGAGGAAACCTCAAAGAAAGATACGGGCAAGGCCCCCGTGTTCCCGGAGGTTGAGATCGTTCCTCCGCCTTCAATAAATATACCGGAAGGGGCGAGTGCGAAAGCCCTCGAAGCTAATCAGAACGCCCCGAGTGAAGAGCTCGGGGCCATGACAACAGGTCACTCCCTTTCTCTACCCTCTTATTCCGAGGAGGCAACCGAAGATGCTAATGCTTTGCGTATGCCCGATCCGAGCAAGGTCCTCGAGGAAGATCCCTTTCAGGGTTGCTTTGCTGGGGTCGAGGATACCAGCGACCTTAACGATGTATCTACCATCTTCGAAAAGGCTCAGCATCTCCTCTCTCAGGTAAATACCAACTTTTTATTGTTGTAATTTTTCCTATCTTTCCTTTCCTCTGACTGACATATCTTTATTTCATGTATAGGCCAAAGTCAAGTTTAGAGCTGAGCTGAGCCAATGTGAGGCCGAGCTCAGGAAAGTTTCGGGCGAAGAGAAGGCCCTGAGGATCCTCTGCAGCCAAAAAGAAGAGGAGCTTAAGGACCTCCAGGCTAAATTGGCCAAAGCTCGGAAAAACGAGGCCGAGCCAGATGAGCAGGTAACTGTGATTTTAACAGAGTATGGTCTCCTTGGCCCTACTTCGGAGGCTAACACTTCGATATCTCAGCTGCAGCAAAAGTTGGAGATGATTGGGCAGCTCTGGGGCGAGGTTGATCAAGTAAAGGCCGACTGCCATCGATGGAAAAAGAACATAGATCAGCTCGCTGCCGATAAGGAAGCCATTACAGCCCAACTGACCTCGGCTGAAACTCAACTCCGGGGCATTAAAGCGAAGGGTCTGGCCCAAGCCCGGAAAATTGAGGAGTTAGAGGTAGAGCTTGCTAGAGCCCGGGCTGAAGCTGCACAAACTAAGGCTGAAGTTGAGAAGACGAAGGCCACGGCTGATAAGGCCATTGCCGTGTACTTAAGAGATGTCGCAGCTGTTCAAGCGGAGCTGAGGGAGGCCTCCGACCGGGAAAAATGGAGCAATGATTTGGCCAAGTGTCAAGCTCGGAGGGAGACTCTCGAAGAAATCCACGCCCGAGGGTTCGACCTTACTGAAGAGATAGCCGAAGCAAAGGCTCAGGAAACCGATGCCAGGTTTCTTGTCTCTTTCATTGAAGAAGATGTTGTGAGCGGCTCCGAAGGCGGGGAAGGTGAGGAAGGTGCCTCCGAAGAAGAGGGGGTTCCCGAAGACAAAGCTGCCGAGGATACAGTTCCTGAGGATGGCGCCGGGGATGTGACCCCAAAAATACTAGTTTTGTATTTTTCTTTTTTGTACAACGGCCCCTTGTGGGCGTTGTAAATATGTTTTGTAAAATATCCCTTATGAATATAAAGTATCTTTTTGCTCTATTTGTCAACTTGTGTTGAATTTTATTTTGTTCTCGTTTGTACAATTCAAATAGTCAGTCCGAGTATTGGTTCGGATTCAGAACACAATAAACCCTTAGGTTTTTATTGATCAATATAATACCCTTTAAGGTTTTGTTAATCCTCGAGCTAAGCTTAAATCAATTTCACGTTAGCTCGGAATAATGGGACTCTTAAGTCCGAGTTGAGTGAGAACGGGGTCTCGAACTCTATATGTTTTGGCCCTTAGGCTCTTTAAGTTGGGCCAATTCGGTCTCTAGAACGGCTATATGATTTTTCCCTCTTTTTGGCTGAAACACTTAGTGAAAATTTAATTATGCCTTAGCATGTGTTTTTTGTACCCATTGGGTTTTTCGAAGGATCGGCACCTTATTTATAGTTTGTTTGCGTAAACATAATCGAATACCTTTTGAGGTTTTTTCGAAGGCTGATGTTATCGAAGCCTTTAGATTATTCAAGGGCTGAATTTATGGAAGCCCTTTAAATTATTCGAGGGCTGAATTTATCGAAGCCCATTATATTTTGCTTTTGCCGAAGGTAGCCTGATTTAACCGACTTTTACAAAGTGTTTGAAGGCCTTTGATTTATAGCGGAAGTCGGACGTCTCCGAGCTGCATTATTTAGACCGTAGCCTTTTTACATGACCGTAGTCTTTAATACGGCCCTAGCCTTCGGGTATGTCACTTGGAATTGTTTCCCGATAACTTTTTGAACTTTTTGAAAAGTTAGTCCCCGAGTATATTGGCCTTGGCCTTTGTTTCGAGGGGATGCCTCTTTGAGGTCTTATGAGTCCGAGTTTTTGGTGACTCGGATGTATTGACTGTCGATGACAGTCCCCGAGTATTCAGGGGTGCTTTTATGCTTTGTCTCTTGAGCCGTTTCCCGTAGGATTATAAGTGTAGAGCCCGAATAATAGTAGACTTCTTTGAGACACAAAGTGTTTTTGATATAAATGGAATGCTTCTTCAAATAATTTGATACATGCATACATGTTTTGTCGTCGGGGCTCGACTATTCTAAATGGACACGGTTCATCTGACCGTTTGGCCCATTACAAAGTTTTCCTATCGAGGCCTTCTTAGGCGTGAAGTATTTTCCTTGAAAATATAACCTCCGAGGGTGATCCCCCCTCAGTATTCGAGGTTGATTGAAAAGAAGCCTTGGATACTGTTGAGTTCTCCTTAGGTAGCACATAATTGTTGCCTCATTAAAACCCTTGCCGGTAAAACCCATTTGGGATAAAATCCGATCTAAGGGAAAAAGTGTGCAACGCATGTTTTAAAACCTAAGGCCTTTGTGTAAAAAGGGTGTCTTCGAGAACGCATACCTTCAATAGCTTCGATCAAAAATCTGTAATAAGTTAGTTTTAAACTCAAATGGACAAAGGATAAAGTCATACCTTAGCAGTAGTATCATTTGAGTAATGATATGTTCCAATTGTTTGGCAATTGTTCACCTTCCATTGTGCTAAGTTTGTAAGATCCTTTACCGACAACTCCGAGGACTCGGTACGGTCCTTCCCAATTCGGGCCTAGTTTCCCTTCATTAGGGTCTCGAGTGTTGAGGGTGACCTTTCGTAGAACAAAGTACCCGATACCAAAGTGTCGAAGGTTGACTATTGTAGTATATTTCGATCCTTTGCTTCTGCGCGGCCATCCGAACAAGCGCTGCTTCTCGCTTTTCATCTAATAACTCGAGGCTAGCATTCATGGCCTCTTGATTTGACTCCTCCGATGCATGTCGAAACCTGGCGCTGGGTTCTCCGACCTCGACGGGGATGAGGGCCTCAGAACCATACACTAGAGAAAACGGGGTGGCCCCCGTGCTAGACTTCGATGTTGTCCGATATGCCCAAAGGACCTCGGGTAAAACTTCTCTCAATTTTCCCTTTGTATCGTCTAACCTTTTCTTCAGGTTTTGAATGATAGTTTTGTTTGTTGACTCGGCCTGTCCATTTCCAGTCGGGTGGTACGGTGTCGATAGAATCCTCTTTATTTTATGTGCTTCGAGGAACTCCGTTACCTTGCTGTCGATGAATTGCTTTCCATTATCACATACAATCTCGGCAGGTATCCCGAATCGACATATGATGTGGTCCCAAATAAAGTCAATAACTTGTTTTTCTCGTACCTTCTCGAAGGCCTATGCTTCCACCCACTTAGAAAAATAATCAGACATAAATAAAATAAGTTTAGCTTTACCTGGGGCCGTTTGTAGGGGGCCGACTTTATCCATTCCCCATTTCATGAAAGGCCACGGGGATAGGACCGAATGAATTTGTTCTCCGGGTTGATGGATCATCGATGCAAATCGTTGACACTTATCACATTTTTTGACAAATTCCTTAGTATCTTTTTCCATGCTATCCCAGTAGTAACCTGCGCTGATAATTATGCGGACCAAAGATTCGGCACCGGAATGGTTCCCACAAGTGCCTTCGTCGGTGTCCCAGGCATACCTCCAATGGTCCATCGAACTTTCTTCGGTAAAATGTTCCATCTTCATCTAATGCAAACCTAGCAGCCTTGGCTCATAGGGTCCTCGATTCCCTGTGATCCGATGGGAGTTTTCCACTTTCCAAATAGTCGATATACTTATTCCTCCAGTCCCACGTTAAACTCGTTAAATTTATCTCGACATGACCCTCTTCAACCACAGACTTCGATAATTGCACGACAGTCCCCGGGACGATGTCGTCTTCTTCGACCGAGGATCCCAGATTAGCAAGTGCATCGGCTCGCTGTTTTGCTCTCGAGGCACATGATCCAGAGTCCACTCTTGAAGCAGTGCAAAGTTACCTGTAATTTATCCAAGTACCGTTGCATTCTATCCTCTCGAACCTCGAAATTTTTGTTCACTTGGTTTACCACCAATAGAGAATCGCACTTGGCCTCAATGACTTTTACTCCCAAGCTTTTAGCTAGCTTGAGACCTGCAATCATGGCCTCGTACTCGTCCTCATTGTTAGTTAATCTTGGAGTTTTGATAGATTGCCTAATGGTATCACCCGTGGGCGGCTTCAATACAATGCCAAGCCAGGACCCCTTTACATTCGAGGCACCGTCTGTGAAAAGGGTCCATACCCCCGATGTTGTACCCGAGCATAGCAGGAATGTTTTCTCCACTTCGGGTACGAGGGTCGGCGTAAAATCGGCCACAAAGTCAGCTAGTATTTGAGACTTGATGACCGTTCGGGTTGATATCCGATATCGTACCCGCTAAGTTTGACGGCCCATTTGGCCAATCGGCCCGATAGCTCGGGCTTATGCAAAATATTTCGAAGGGGGTAGGTGGTTAATACACATATAGTATGACATTGAAAATATGGTTTTAGCTTTCAAGACGCGCTTATCAATGCAAGTGCTAATTTTTCTAAGTGAGGGTACATAGTTTCGGCATCTCCTAGAGTTCGGCTTACATAATAAATAGGAAATTACGTACCTTGCTCTTCTCGAACTAGTACCCCACTTACCGCTATCTCGGATACTGCCAAATACAGGTAAAGTTTTTTATCTACCTTCGGAGTATGAAGCAAAGGTGGGCTCGATAGCTATCGCTTTAATTCTTCTAAGGGTTGCTGACATTCCGGGTCCATGCAAAGTCCTTTTTCTTTTTGAGCAAGGAAAAGAACCCGTGACTCCTATCTGATGACCTCGAAATGAATTGACCCAGAGCAACTATTCGACCTGTTAACCTTTTCACGGCCTTCGCACTATCCACGATCATGATATTTTTGATAGCCTTGATCTTATCGAGGTTGATTTCGATACCCCAATTTGACACCATGAAGCCGAGGAACTTACTCGAGCCAACTCCGAAGGCACATTTCTCCGGGTTAAGCTTCATGTTTTATTTCCTCAAAATTGCGAATGTTTCCTGCAAGTGAACTAAGTGGTCCTCTGCACACAGGGAATTAACCCACATATCATCAATGTAGACTTCCATTGTTTTTCCTATTTGTTCTTCGAACATTTTGTTAACTAGGCGTTGGTATGTAGCTCTTGCATTTTTTAGCCCGAAGGGCATTACGTTGTAACAATAAGTTCCAAATTTAGTAATAAACGAAGTCTTTTCCTGGTCCTCTGGGTTCATTTGAATCTGATTGTACCCGGAGTAGGCATCGAGAAAAGTTAGGGTCTCGTGGCCAGCCGTGGCATCGATCATACGATCGATGTTTGGCAAAGGGAAAGAATCTTTTGGACATGCTTTGTTCAAGTCCTTATAATCTACACACATTCTAAGTTTGTTTCCTTTTTTAGGAACTACAACTACATTGGCTAACCACTCGGGGTACTTTACCTCCCGAATAGATCCTATTTTAAGAAGTTTGGTTACCTCGTCTTTTAATGACATCCGAGGTCCTTACTCTGACGAACCGGCTCATCCAGCCCTAATCATTGGCTTCGTCATTACTGGCAAAAAAGGCTTTCTTCGTGCGACGGTACAACTTGATAAGCTCTCGAAACAGCTAGGGCCGATACAATTGAATCAGGTGGTTGAGGGTAAATTCCAACCCCTCGGACTTTTCAGAAAAGTAGCACAGCATGATCACGATGCGCCAAAAAGAGGGGTGAATCTGGCCGAGGGTGACTTCGTATGTTTTGCAGAAGTCGATCACCACCGGATCGAGGGGACCAAGTGTGAAGGGGTAAGTGTAAACACTTAAAAAAACCCTCCACGTGGGTAGTAATGCTTTCCTCGGGGCTCGGGATCTGAACCACGACCTCGTCTCCCCAACCACAGTCCGTCTTCACATCTTTGAGGTGCTTCTCTGATATCAAACTAATATATCGAGATGCATGCTCGCATCGGCCTGGGACATCAGGGGGATTTTCAATACTAAAGTCCTTCTTATCACGCAAGAGCCGGGGGTGATTTCTTCAAGAGTTGGCGGCGCCATCGGTTTGGCCGGCTGGGGGGTAGAAGAAGACGACGCTTTATCTTTTTTGGGGACCGTTTTGGAAGTTTTAGTCATGATTTTAAGCTTAAGAATACAGGTTGTATCGGAATGTGGTGTTTTTTATGAGAACCTGGCTTTTTCCGGCGCTTAAAGAGGTAGTGGAAACATGTGATTGGGGAAATAGATGAAGAATGGAAAGATGTAATGAAAAAGTAAAGTTCTTTACTCAAAGAAATAGCCTCATATTTATAGAAGGGCGACGACGGTTCGGCGGCGCTAGTGGCCGACCAGTACTAGCATGCATTTAATATTTTGGGGAAGCGAACCGACGGGACGTTTCAATCACTTCGAACGCCTGCGTCACAGGATGACATCATCGTGATGGACTCCGAAAATCGAGGTTCAAATCATTTCTTATTATCTTATTCTAAGAAACGCGGGGACTATCTGTATACGCTCAAAATTTATGCCTCCGATTTATAGGCTTGGGGGTCCGTCATAGGCCCGAGTTCGAGTGAGGTCGAGTTCGAGACTGGTGGACCAGAGTCGAGCTCGAAGACAGAGTGCAATGCCCGGAGATAGGAGCACGAAGAATACCGGGGCCAAGTATGCTCGACCCTGAAATAGTGTCGTTATGAATCTATAACAGAATGAGCTAGATTCCTGCCACGTCCACAAGATCATGGTGCAAATCTCGAAATAGGATTGTACGATTCCGTATTAGGCGGTTAGACAACTGTATCAAGAATATTCCTTACTGTAAATAGAAATATACCTTATTTAGGGATTCCCCTATTATATAAAGGGGACCCCAATCATTTGTAACATCATCTAATCATTGAGAAAAGAATATACTCTCTACCTTTTCGCCTACTGTTCATCAGCATTGTCCTTTAGCTCTACTGTTCTTACTTTGCTTTTATTACTTAATTGTTCTTATTATTCTAAGCCTACCTCGAGGTCACTAAGCTCGAGGTCACTGCTGCTAAGTAACATTAGTTTGATTCACTTGTCTCTTTCATTTCTACTTCATACTTCTTGATTATTAATTGGTATTGAACTAAATCACATATCTTTAAAACCACAAATCAAATTTAATTGTTACTCGTATTTTCGAGGTAAACAATCTTAATTCTTAAATAAAAGAAATAACCAATTAGTATTAACAATTAAGAGTATGTCACAAAGAATGGAGTAAATTATCGACGTACGTAGAACCAGAGAGCAACTAACACAAGATGTTAAAAGTAGTACGTAGATGTTGAATGACCCTAACAGATCATTAATCTTTTTTACCTTTATCTTTTATTACATTACGAGATGATCTGTACAGTGCTAATTTGTCACTCAATTCGATCATCTCACCTGAGCTACTAATCTATATGCCGGACATTAAAGCGGAGGTTTCTCCTTTCCATATGTTTATTTAATTATTTCAGATCCATCCAACAGACTATGATCAGACTCTAAAATAAAAGTACATGGAAGAAAAATTGCTCTACTGTTTTCTTGTTTTCGCTGTATGAAATACGTAGATTTCGAAAACAAAATATTAAGGAAATATGACGAATTAGAGTTTCAAATCCTTTGTTATACGAAAGGTTTCCTTTTATTGGTGGAAATGTGAACTTTATATTAGAGGGATTACCCATCAAGCAAAGAACTCTAATATAATATATATATATATATATATGTGTGTGTGTGTGTGTGTGTGTGTGTGTGTGTGTGTGTGTCCATAAGAAATTATATATATACACTGTTATATACGGGAAGGAAAACAAATTTTTGATATACATTTTAATATATACAAAGAAGGATAATAAATTTGTGATATACATTTTGCTATACACGTATTATTATATATTATACACTGTGATATACAAATAATATAATTAGTTTGTGTTATACACTTGGATAAAAAAAAATAATAATAAATTATAGACAACTACCGAAGGAAACAAAAATTTGATATACATTTTAATATTCACAAAGAAGAAAAAATAAAGTTGCGATGTATATGTTGGTATACACGTTATTTAACATGTTATACAATATAATATACAAAAAATATAATTATTTTTGTGTTATACACTTGGATATACACTATGATATATTTATAATTTTTAATATTTTTAATGCTTGTGAGAAATAATTTAAAAACCTAGAGAAAAGATTATAGAGATTTGGGAGAAAATCTTGAAAGATTTTCGAATTCTAACAAAAAGGAAATGAAAGCCTATTTTTTAGGGTGATGGTTGGACCATTAGAAGAGAGAAAAGATCACTAAATGTTAAATTTAGGCTACGTGTGTCAAATGCTAAAAGATACGCAATTTTCTGCCAATTATTGGACTAAGTTGTTATGCAATGCCAAAACCCCAAACTTAGATTGTAGCATGTCACTTTTGAAAACTTCTAGTGGAGCGGATGTAAGGCAGGCCTAATATTGGTTTAGTCCGATTTTTGGCCTTGGTTGTGAATGAGGACTGGCCCAGGCCTCTCCTAGGGCCCAGCCCGCTAATTAAAGAGGGGGTATAGGCCCTCCTTTAATCCGACCAACACCAGCCACTACATAATGGTCACGATAATTTGTAGGAAAGTGGCATAAAAACACACCTAAACTATCGAAGTTGTCCATTAAAAACTTATACTTTTCGGGAGTCCTATGACCCCCCGATCTAAGAAGTTTTATTGTGTGCCTCACACAACTGATATTAGTTATGTGAGGTTCCTTTTTGTCTCACAAATTTGTGGACCCCAATCTTACACTTTTGGGTCCACAAAAATCTGGGTCCACAAAACTATGAGACAAAAAAGATGCCTCATACAACTAGTGTCAGTTGTATGAGACACAAAATAAAATTTTTCCCCCAGAACTATTTCAAGCATGAATTATTAACTCCGGCAGAGTATAAGTGTGTAACTAACCATTTCGATATAGTTGAGATGTGTTTTTATGCCTTTTCCCTAGTTTGTACCTTTAACGAAAATATATTTCCTCCTCAAGGCTTGGTCAGAAATTAGAAGTTACAATTTAGATTGTTTTATCAGTATTTAACCTTTACCAGAGTTCATAATGATCTTGATTCCTCCAAATTCTAGAATTTTTGTCCAACCGTGAAGGAGTGGAAATTATCTTTTTCCATCTTACCTAATGGCCAAAAAAGGAAGCAAGGAGCTATGCGGACTTTCTTTTTAAGGATTAGATAAAGAGAAAAAATAGACTCTTATATAATGTTAATAAAAGCTCTTCTTTTTCTAATGGCCAAAAAGAAATGCAAATCCTAGTAATTCTTATAATGACTTGAGGACAACAACATCAACAAATCCAGTTTAATTTGGCTTATAATGACTTGACACAGAGGAAAAATTGAATCATGATAAGGCACTAAATGAAAACTCTTTTTTTTTTTTTTTGACACGGAGGAAAAATTGAATCGTGATAAGGCACTAAAAAGATACTCTTGAGTACAACATATTGAACAATAATGCAAGTATAGTTTTAATTTCCTCATAGTAAATCAAACAAAAACAATATGCCTTGCAGAAGAAATTAGACTTATCATCCACTATACTTCTTTCGAAAGGCAGCGAACTTTGTGTGATCAATAGGTTACAGGTTTAAGTCATAGAGTTAGCCACTAACCCTTGTATTAGAATAGGCTATTTAAATCATATCTTCTTGGTGGGCGATTCTTCCCCGAACCTTGCATAAACGCAAAATTCTTAATGCACCAAACCTTTTTTTATCCACCATACTTCTTCCACATATCAACATAAAATCTCAAAGACTTAGGCAAAGACATTCTCCATTTCTCCAAATCAGGCAATCCACCTGCAAGAGCAACTGTACTATCCTCCTGTTTTTTATTTCCAAGATTCAACACAAAAACCTCTCCTGGAAAAACCTTGTTCATTGCCTCTAAAGTCTCTTCCATTATAACTTTCCCATCTTTTCTAATATCCTCTGGTTCTACACAACTCCCCCCAACATTCACCATTATCCTCCCTCCTTTCTTCAACTTCCCCTTCAATTTCTGCCACGTGTCTGGATTCTGTAGCTCAGGAATCACACACCCTTTACTGAACAAATCCACTAAAAGCCCAGAATACCCATCTTTCACACTAGCATTAAGTGCATTGCTAATGTAAATGAAAAGTCTATCTGGGTATTGTTTTTCAACTTTTGAAAGCCCAAAATATTCTCTTCCAACAGAGACCACAGCTGGGTCAAGCTCATATCCGTGGATGACACCTTGTGGGTACATTTCAAGAATCAATTTTGCAGCCGACCCGGCTCCGAACCCGAGTATTCCTAAAGGCCCAGGTGGTAAAATTGGAGGAAGAGTTGCAAGAACATCGTAATAGGCATTGGTGATGGACTTGAAAAGGAAAGATATGCTGTGGATGTTACCAGGAGCATCTAGAAGAAGAAGGCGAGACCCAGCTAATGGGTGGTCAGCTCTTCTAGAAACTTGTAGAACACGGATGTAGTTGTGCCTGGATTTGAATTTGACTAGGGTTTTGACATGTTCAATGGGGATGCCATCATCTTCTTCTTGTTGTTGATTTGTGGAAGTGATGTTTTTGTGGTTTGAAGCAGCTTGAATTGGGCAGAATTTTAGAGTTATGGGGTTTTGAGGTTTATGGTGGATTTTGAGGAATTTGGGTGGGGAAGAAGGAAGGAGGAAACATTGAAGTGAGGGTTGGATTTGGATGGAGATTTTGAAGTTTTGTGCTGCTACTGAATTCATAGTGTTGCAAGACTTGAACTTGTTTGTAGCAATTGATTTATAAGTAGACGATTCACTTTGCTAAAATAGGAAGTCCCTTAAATATAACTGATTTTGGAGTTTTAACGTTTTGTTCTTGACAATATATACAGGGAATTTATTCATCATGGGGAAAATTACATCTTTTTAGTAAAATACTTCTAAGTCTAACCGCGAATTGCTAAACTATTTAATTTAAGACAGATGAATACAAGTTTTCAAACAATAAAACTACCCACATGAACAAAACCTATGTGCTCAAGACGTATTGAAAAAGTTGCAAAGAGCCTCGATGGCTAAAATCAAGCATTAGTGAAGCTTCAAGTTTTTTACCGAGTCCAAGAATCTTAGATATAGTCACTGCCTGTGATACTACTGTTTGAGCAAATAATTGCTAAACTAATTAATAACAAGATGATGGGGTGAATCTCAGTTAAACTTAATAAATCCTAGATCAAATAGAGCGAGATTATTATATAGTGAGAAGAGTTTAAGAGCATTAATTAATGAGTTCAATATACTAAGATTGATGAAATATGTAATATCATAAATGTGCAATAAATGCGTGGTGATTTCTGGCGGAATCCCTGTTATATCTAAATGGGACCAAGCAAAGCAATCCATATTATCGATAAGAAATTGAATGAGTTTTTTCCTGCGTTCGGGGGTCAATCCCGTTCCCGGGTATACCTTTCTCTCGGGTATGTATTCGATCAAAATGACCTGCTTTAGCTCCTCGATGGTCGATTTGGTTGCATCAGATTCTTCGGGAACGGCAAAGGTTCAAGGAGTAAGGAAATCCTCACCTTCGTCTTCGATTACCTGTTGCTCCGTCTCCATCGAGGCTGGAGGTGGTGATTGCTATTTGGCCGCCTGCTTACCTTTGGCGCTCGATTTCTCCAAGGTCAAAGGCTCTGGTATCGGCACCACTTCCTCGATTGAAAACATCTCCTTTACAGCATGTTGCTCTCCATAGACTGTTTTCACTCCTTCCTCTGTTGGGAATTTCATCATCTGGTGAAGAGTTGAAGGCACTGCCCTCATGTTGTGTATCCATGGTCTCCCGAGGAGTGCGTTATACCTCATCTCACCTTCGATGACATGGAATCTAGTGTCTTGTATGGTCCCAGCTACGTTTACTAGCAAGATAATCTCTCCCACTGTTGTTTCGCTTGCCATGTTGAAGCCAATTAGGACCCAGGATGCAGGTACAATCTGATATTGTAGACCGAGTTGTTCCACGACCCTCGATCTGATTATGTTTGTAGAGATACCTGGATCCACTAAAACACGCTTAACTTGAATTTTATTTAAAAGGACTGAGATTACCAATGCGTCGTTGTGAGGTTGAGATATGCCTTCTGCTTCCTCGTCACAAAATGATAAGACGTCCTCGGGCACATAGCTCCGAGTCCGTTTTTCTCTAGTGATTGATACTTTGGTGCATTTGAATACAGGTCGTTGAGGGACATCGACTCCTCCAATGATCATGTGGATTACATGTTCTGGTTCTTCTTGTTCATTTTTCCTTGCATCTCTCTCCCTAAAGTGATTCTTAGCCCAATCACTTAGGAATTCTCGAAGGTGGCCCTCGTTGAACAAACGAGCCACTTCTTCCCTTAGCTGTCTGCAATCTTCTGTTCGATGACCATGTGTGCCATGATACTTGCACATCAAGTTTGGGTTTCTTTGAGAAGGATCGGTATAGGTCTGGGCCACTTGGTGTCTTTGATTCTCCCAATAGCTGAGACAATCCCCGACGCATCTATGCTGAAGTTGTACTCTGATAATCGAGGAGCCTCTGCGGGGTCGGTATGTTTGTCGAACCCGCTCTTACTCATGAGTCCCCGAGAACTTTGACCTTGATTGTATCTCTGATCGCTCCGAGGAGTGTTACGGCTCGTGTCGCTATTTTTCGATCAGTATATGGCTGATGCAGTTCTTTGTTGAATCTCGAATCCCGGTTTGTGTCCCTCGGGGGCTTGGCTACAAATCTGTTAGGTAGAACTGAACCCGAGGGGGCTCCTAGTCGTCCTCGACCCTGATTTTTGACTGGTAACGATGATGCACATCCGACCATGTCACAGCTAGATATTCGATCAAGTTCTGCTTTAATTGTCAAGATGCAATCGAGCTCCTTTCATTCAAACCCTACATGAAAGCTTGCACTGCCCAGTCATCCAAGACCGGTGGTAACTCCATTCGCTCCATCTGGAACCTAGATACGAATTCTCTTAACATCTCGTCGTTCCTCTGTTTTATCTTGAAGACGTCCTATTTTCTCGTGGCCACCTTTATGGCCCCAGCGTGCGCTTTCATGAAGGCGTCTGCTAACATAGCAAATGAATCAATAGAGTTAGGAGCTAAGTTGTGATACCAAATCGTAAATCCTTTTGATAGTGTTTCCCCAAACATTTTCAACAACACTGACTCGATTTCATCGTCATTCAAGTCATTTCCTTTGATCCCACAAGTGTATAAAGTAATATGTTCATTAGGGTCGGTTGTCCCGTTATATTTAGGCATATCGGGCATGTGAAACTTCTTGGGAGTGGGCATCGGAGCCGCACTCGGGGGGAATGGTTTTTGTATGAGCTTTCTGGCATCTAAACCTTTCAAGACCGGAGGTACCCCGGTATTTGATCAACACAGGAGTTGTAAGTCTCCACCTTTTTGTCATTTTCTTCAATCTTCTTTTCTTCGGACTAGATCGTCTTGGCGTGCTCTTCGAGCATCCTCATAATGGTAGGGTCAGTCCCCGAGTTATTTCCGTTCGACCTCTCTAGTTCTGGTTCAGCATGCCGAGTATTTTCATGTTCAGCTACGCTCGGAGTCTTATTCTGACTTTGAAGTTGAGCGATGGCGATTTGCGAGCTTGCAGCATCTCGAATATCACTTGGAGGCTGATTCCCCCATCTACCATTCCTCGTGCTCCTTGGCCACCAGATCGGCTTCCCTGCGTTCATTCCCTACGGGGTCTGTGCCTGAATCCGCCTTTAGAGCATTATGTGAACTGATATCAACTGGCTCCATATTTGGCACATCCTCAGGGTTTATTGGTGGTACACCGACCCCTATACTGTTGTTTTCTCCAAGACCTTCGTTGTCATGAACATGTGCGTTTTGTGTGCTAGACATGTTTCAGCTTGAGAATCAAAGAAACTTTACAAGAAAAAGTGTAAAGACAACGTGTCTAATGAGAATCGGTAAATAAATAATCACTCTTATCTTTAGCCCCACGGTGGGCGCCAAACTGTTTACCTCGAAAATACGAGTAATAATTAAATTTGATTTGTGGTTTTAAAGATATGTGATTTAGTTCAATACAAATTAATAATCAAGAAGTATGAAGTAGAAATGAAAGAGACAAGAACAATTAAGTAATAAAAGCAAAGTAAGAACAATAGAGCTAAAGGACAATGCTGATGAACAGTAGGCGAAAAGGTAGAGAGTATATTATTTGCCCAATGATAAGATGATGTTACAAATGATTGGGGTCCCTTTTGTATAATAGGGGAATCCCAAAATAAGGTATATTTCTATTTACAGTAAGGAATATTCTTGATACAGCTGTCTAACCGCCTAATACGGAATCGTACAATCCTATTCCGGGATTTGCGCCATGATCTTGGGGATGTGGCAGGAATCTAGCTCATTCTGTTACAGATTCATAACGGCACTATTTCGGGGTCGAGCATACTTGGCCCCGGTATTCCTCGTGCTCCTATCTCCGGGCATTGCACTCTGTCTTCAAGCTTGACTCTGGTCCACCGGTCTCGAACTCGACCTCACCTGAACTCGGGCCTATGACGGACCCTCAAGCCTATAAATCGGAGGCATAATATTTTGACCGTATACAAAGATGACATATGAATTAACTATTGATGAGTAAAAATAATATTCTCTAAGTTTCAAGTTATGCAATATTATTTTCTTATTAGTTCATTCCGAAAAGAATCACACATTTTTATATATGAAAATAATTTAACTTTAAACATCTCATTTTATTCTTAACGAGAAGTTTTTATAACCACGCAAAACGTTAGGACACGTTTTATTAGGATTGAAATAATCAGGTGTCATGTGGAAGCTAACGAAGAATACCTTGAACAACAATAAATCAAACAGCAAAAGAGAAATATACCAAAAGAAATACAAATATTTAACGTGGTTCTGTAAATTGACCTGCGTCCACAGGCGGAGATGAACAATCCACGATATAAAAAAAAGTACAAAATATTGAGAGAACAACCTCACAAAAAGGCACACACAAGTGGCAAGCTAACACTTGTTCCAAAAGTTCTCCCCCTAAACAAGACTCTCAAACCCCTTACATCTAATACATTGTCGATGCTACTATATGGGAAGGAAGGATTCTTACTTTATAGAAGTAAAAAAAAATTCTCCAAAAAAGGATTAGCCACATATGGAAGAATTATATTTTTCTTTTCATGAAAGGTAAAATCAACTATGGTAAATATGTTATCGTTCCTTCAAGGAATAAGAAAATCAAACATGATAGGAAAATCAGGACAAACACCTAACAGTTCTCCCCATTGGCCTGAATTTTCTGACAAAATAAAATTTATAAACTTCTTCACATAATCTTCAGCAAGTCGCATCTCTAAATCTCCACCACAAAGTTTGTCTTAACGTGAATAGCACTCCGGTCAATTTTTTTAAAAAAAAATCAGGATTACCACCAAATAGGTTGCAGCTAGAACTAAACCTGCCTAGATGAACATGTCTTGAACCTCGCTCTGTTACCGCTTGTTAGGATCAAGATAATCAGGTGTTATGCGAAATTTAACAAAGCATAACATGAACGATGATAGATCAAACAACAGAAGAGAAATATACAAAAAAAAAAACATAAACATTTAATGTGATTTTGTAATTTGACCTACATCCACAGGTGGAGATGAGCAATTCCCTATATAAAAGAGATTACATAATATCAAAAGAACAACCTCACAAAGAGGCACACACAAGTGGCAAGGTAACACTTGTTCCAAACTTTTTTCCCTAAACAAGACTCTCAAACCCCTTACGGCTACATATGCAACTAAATGAGAAGGAAGGATCCTTAATTTATAAAAGTCAAAAAAAAAATCCTCCAAAAAAAAAGGACTAGCAACATAGGAAAGAATTATATTTTTC